GAAAACAGTGCAACAATGAATGAATGAAAACCCAAAATCCCTGTAAATGTTCATTAAAACTAATAAAATTTAATAAAAAAAAGAAAATTGAACAACCATTGTCTCATATTTGGATGCAGTAACAGAAAGCCTTAACACATGTACAGTCCCACAAACATACATTCCAAAAACTCTTTGCTGTTGAATCTGTAGTTTTGGAGGCTGTAAATCACCCAAGAGGAGATTTGCTATCTTTCTCCTATAGAGTCACTGATAGATTTGAACTGTCAGAGAGGTGTGACCTTCACATTAGCAGTGCAACCCCTTACTGACTAGGTCACCCAGAACACCCTCCAAACACACATGGCCACTTATAGTTAATTCCACAATTGTGTCACGGACAAAGATTTCCACAACATTATGAACTGAATTGTGTCTGCCTAAAATGTGTTGGAACCCTAACACTCTATGCTTTTGTTGTTATGGGCTGCAGAGTGAGAACCAACTCACAGCCTCAGTGGTGCTTATCCGTGTAAATTGCTGGATAAAGATTGCTCCCATGGAGCAGCTGATGGATTTGAACCACTTGCTTTTGACTTGGAAGCATAGCACCTTGCCCACTAGGACACCAGAGCTCCTAACCATCTATAGTTGGGAACACAATCCCAGTTAGAAATAAGGTTTACTCACTGTATTAATGAGACCCGTTTTGTAGAGAAGGAGCAATGGTGATGCAGTGCTTAGCACGTTGCCCTGCAAACTAGAAGATCAATGGTTCAAATCCACCAACTCCTTGGACAAATGAGGAAGACACACATGTGAAAGTCATTCAGAATTCAAAGAGGGATGCTGAAATAGGCAAAGAAGCCACATTCTGACTTGTTTTTTTTTTAGCCACAAAATATTTTATTTACAAAACATATGTAGACTACATACTGTACATCAGGTTCTGTCACTATGGAAGTCACTCCAGAGCCCTCCTGGGAGTCTATTGCCAAAGCCAAGTTGAGGAAGTCTAGAAAAGTAATCAGTCAATCTGACTTGACCACCAAGTGTGTGTCAGAACAGCTATATGGGGATTTTAATGGCAGGTAATGTTTGTTTTGTTGTTGTTGTTGTGTTTTTAAGTAGATTTCCAGGTCTTTCTTACAAGTTACCGCTTAGACCCTCCAAAACTATTGCAGCCTAGTGCACCAATCCTTTGCATTGCTCAGAGACTCCAAGAACTATGCAAAAGGGCCAAGCCCTCCCAGTCACCTCCACCGTGAGGGAAAACCTGTCCTGTCAGCACTTGAGGGTGAATAATAGGTCTGAGCTCAGAAAGGGCTCAGAAGGAGGAACTGGCTGTTATGCAGCAGCTTACAAAAATGGGGTAGGTGGAAGGAAAGACAGAGATAGAGATCCTTTACCCAGAGGGAAACTGGGTGGGCATAGGAGGAGGGGGAAAAGGAAGTAGCAGTTTATGGGCCCTGAAGCCCAAGGCTCTGAAGATCAGGGCAAGGAGTCTGTCCGTGTCTTGACGGCCAGCAGGGCATCCACTTGTGTGCTGGTGGCCACTCTGCCGGTTGTGTACCACCTTGGGGTCTCTCAAGTCAGAGAGCAGCCCCTGCTCAGCATCGCACGGCTCCCCAGCAGGTTGTAACCTTTCTTCTGTATGTACATTACCACAACCACCCCCACCACCTCCACCAGGGTGATGAAGAAGAGAGGCCCCAACACATTGCCCCGCATGGAGTCACTGTTGGCTTGGGGGAGGTTGGCGCTGTGGCATTCCACATGACACTGGCAAGTGACAGTCCAAGCTGAAGGGCCAGACAGTCAGCATGGGCAATGTGGTGCCTCAGGAGGGTGCCTCCACTGAGCTCCCTCCCGCCGCTGCAGCCACAACGGGAACACTCTTGTTGGCTCACAGGTACCTACTTTATGAATCTTAGCTCTAACTTGCTCACTCACTCAACTAAGAGTTGGTTCTAACTCTTTGAGACCCTCCATGAGGCTTCCAAGGTGAAACAGTGGTTAACAGAATTGAAGAAAGAAATAAGCAGCATCACAATATTGGTAGGTGACTTGAACACACCATTCTCACCAAAGGATAGGTCAACTCAAAAGAAACATGACAAAGATGCAGAAGAGCTAAACTGTACAATCAGCAACTCGACCTGGTGGATGTATTCAGTGTACTGCACCCAGCTAAAACTCTATTCACTTTCTTCTCAAGTGCACGTGGTACAGTCTCCAGAACTGATCATATATTAGGGCAAAAAAGGAAATGAAAGAACACTGATATAATACAAAGTATCTTCTCAGACCATAATGCCATAAAACTAGAAATTAAGCACAGAAGGGTAAAGCTTACAAAACCACCCATGTGGAAACTAAATAACTTTCTGCTAGAACATGATTGGGTTATAAAAGAAATAAAGAATGAAATAAGAAAGTTCCTTGACATAAATGAAAATGAAAATACAACATACCAAAACCTCTGGGATGCAGCTAAGGCAGTCCTCAGGGGGCAGTTCATAACAATAGGCATAAACATAAAAAAGGAAGAAAGAAGAAAAATCAATGATCTAACTCAACACCTTCATCAAATAGAAAATGAACAACAATCTAATCCTACAGCCTCTAGAAAACAGGAAATGATAAGGACAAGAGCTCAAATCAAAGAGATAGAAAACAGAAAAACAATTGAAAACATCAATAACAAAGAGCCTATTTTTCGAAAGGGTCACTAAAATTGACAAGCCACTGGCAAACTTAACAAAAGGGGGGGAGAGAAAAAACACAGACAACTCAATTTAACAATAATAGAGGTGATATCACAACAGAACCAGATGAAATTAAATCAGTAATATTGGTTATCTGAAAAGTTATACTCTGAGAAATTTGAAAACCTTGAGGAAATGGACAAATTCCTTGAAACTCATTAACACAGACAGATGTACAACACTTGAACAGATCCATCACAAAAGAAGAAATTGAATAGATCATAGAAAGACTTCCCCATGAAAAAGTTCTGCACCACATGGCTTAAATTCTATCAAACATTCAGAGAGGATCTGTCACCAACCCAATTTCAAATATTTTAAAAAATTGAAAAAGAAGAAACATTCCCAGAATTTTTCTATGAAGCAAGGCTAGTCTGGAAAAAGACATCATGCTGGAAAAGGCAGAGGGTCAGTGAAAGACAGGAAGACCCTCACCCAAACGCACTGACCACATGACTGCAGCAGTGAGCTTGACCATGGCAGAGATCTTGATGATGGTGGAGGACAGGGGAGAGTTCAGGTTCACTGCTCATAAGATTGCTCTGGGTTATAATTGACTCAATAGCTCTTAACAACAAAGTGGCTTTTTTTCTCGGTTTTATTTGCAAAATTTTAATAAAATGTAAAAAAATAAACATTTTGATCAGGTTAAATTTGAACACACATATATAAATAAGGTATAGGAGACAATAATTTAAGAAAATGGCTCAGTGTACATATACAATATCCCAGGTGCAGGGAGAGGTTGGTCGTGGGTGTGGGGGCTTAGACACACTGGTCCCCACTGGCGACACATTTCAGGTCCTGTACAAGGAGGCGGAAGAGGTTGAACGTAACTGAGGCCTCCAGGCAGCTTGAGGATTCCTGTGGGGAAAACAGTTGATGGTCATTTACTGTCCAGCATTAGCCTCCTCCCTCATGTAGGGCCCTAGCCCACCTTCTCCCTGTCACTTACCTTCTTGGACACCTCCTGGAGCCGGTGCAGCCAGCGGTGAAGGCGGCCCCGGGGTCTGGGGTCTGCTGTGGGCTGAGCCAGGATCTGTGGGCAGAGGAAGAGGGTGTGAGGCAGGACCTGGGCCGAGGGGTGGGGTCCCACAAGGTCAGTGACCACTGAAGGGTCTTGGGCACCAAGAACTCACACAGGCCTGGAGCTCAGAGTGGATGTGGCGCAGTGTATGAAGTGGTCGGCTCAGGATGTCCCTTAAGGTAGAGGTAGTGTTGATCACATTCCCCAAGACCTTCAATGTCAGGGATAGCTCAACCTCCAAGGCCACAGGGCGCTCCCACACCTAAGGATAGAAGACAGAAGACAGATGAGCATCACACCTGAGAAACAAGATATGTGACTGGTAGGAAGGTCCAGAGAAATGAAGAGGGGAAGGGGACAGGTGAGACAATAGGTGAGATGGCATGGCTGATGGACTCGGGAAAAGGAAATAGGTAAGAGAGGACAAGGGCAGGGGAAGAAGAGAGGCCAAGAAAGAAGGGCAAGTGAAGGAACTAAAGGTGCAAGATGAGCAGGGCCAAGTGAGGGCAGAGGTGGCCTTGACTCTCCCAGCTCACCTGCAGCTGCCTCAGGTTCCAGGTCTTTGGGAAGAGACGGGAGCTGCAGGTCCAGTTCTTCAGCAGGAGTGACTCTTCCTAGAAAGCAAGGGCAGAGGTTAGTCCACAGGGGTCAGGATGAAGCAGGATTGGAGAATAGCTAACAACAGGAAGAAGGAAAGTGAGCTCACAAAAGGACAGTGGAGACTGCTTCAGAGCAGGAGGACACAGGTTAACTCATTGCAGTAGAAAGAATCAACCAGTGAGGTTAGCTCAGCAAAAGAGGCAGCAGGGGGCAGTACAGTGAATCCATAGAAGGCAAGGTAGAAGCTGGCCCGCAGAAAGGGAGACAGAGTGAGACTCACCATTGCATCCTTAGCCCTCTTGAAGGCCTGAAGCTCTTGTGGGGACAGAGACTTGAACGGTCCGAGGTGACAGTCCCTTGCATTCCAGAGTGCCCCTCTGAGTGCTCTGAGTGTGGGGGTGGGACCTGCTCCTGTCCTGGTCAGCATGGCCATCAGCGTCAGCACCAGCAGGCAGCCCTGAGCCTTGTCTGTGTGGCAGAGGGATGGAGAGATGAAGGCATGGGGAGACCAGGTGCTGAGCATGGGGCTGGGGGGAGGTGAGGGTCATGAGCGATGATGGGGAGTGAGGGGCTCACCCAGCTTCATTCTGGTCTCTTCTGTCAGCAGGAGGGGGTCCACGTGCTGCTTTGCACTCAGTCTTGTTTGAGATGTCTTACTCAGTCTTGCTTGAGGTATCTGACCTCTGTCTCCTCTTCTGAGTCTCAGCCCACTTCTCTGTTCCAGGCTGTTACTCTGTGTTTCCAGCTTGGTCTGGGCCACAACTCCTGCCTGAACCCCATGGTGCAGCTTTTAACCTGAACAGATGGAGAATCCAGGCTGATGTAGGAAAAGTGAAAAGAGCCTGAGGGTGACACCAGCCAGCAGGGGAAGCCCCAGACTGGTGACACACGGAGCAGGGCGGGGCAAGGTGAGGTTAGGTGATCCTGGAATGAAACAGAAACTAACTTGGATTCAATCTTTACTCCACAGTGAGATCGGGAGTTGGACCATTCTCCTGGGCCGGTACAGGAGACCCTAAAGATACTCAGACAGGGCAGAGGTGGGATAGAACAGAGGCTTATCTTGAAGGCCCCTCAAATATATGCAGAGGAGACAGGAATTGTCTGCATAAAGACTGGAGATTCCTAGAGAGAAACTGCTTAGAAGCAGGGACTGGAGGGACCTGATCAATGAAAGACAGCGTGGAGGGAGAAGGGACAGGACATCAGAAAGGTGCCCAAGATACTCAAGGAGGGAGATGACGTCCCTGTCCTCCCTCACCCGGTGTCAATAGCAGGACGGTCACCAAACTGTCTGTTGAAAAGTTCTGATGCATTTGGAATCTGTACAGGAAACAGGCTGGACAGAACCAGCCCGATCCTTTATTCGGCCTTTAAATATTTATTCATTTAATCATGTACTCAAGAAATATTTCTTGAACAATCTCCCATGCGATTTACAACCTCTGAACACTCGCTGGAGGGTCAGCTATGAGTCGGTTCTGACTCAGTGGAACGTAGCAGCAACATTTTGTGCTGAATGCTTTTGAAGCACTGGGGAATCTGCTGTTGTTGTTAAATGTCATCAAGTCCACCACAACTCACTGGAACCCTTTGAGAAGTATCTGAACCTTTCCTTATCCTGTGCTAGCCTCATAGTGGTAGTCACTGTATCAATCCATCTTTTTAATGTCTTCTGCTTTGCTGACTGTCTCCTTTTTCTCAGCATGATACATTTATCCAAGTACTGCCCTCTCCTGGCATCAATTCTGGGAAATCTAGCAGCAAACAAACCAGAAAATCTCTGCCTGCACAGAGCTGACATTCTCTCGGGCAGGTCAGACAATAGCAAAATGATCAATAATCTACATGATAGTATAGTAATTGTTATTGTGGGTAGGTGCCCTCAAGTTGACTTCCACTCACAGTGACCCTGAGACAATAGATCTGAACGTTGCTACCATCCTCATCATCTCTGAATCCATTGTTATAGCCACTGTGTGGATCCATCTCTCAGAGGATTTGGATTCCTTTCTCTAACCCTTCACATTTCCCAACATGATGATGTCTTTTTTCAAGATCTGTCTCCTTCTGACAGCATGCCCACAGTATGTGAGATGAAGTTCAAAATTTCAGATAGGTAGAAAGCAATCAAAAAGACCATGGCATGGATCAGGTGCACCTTGGTCTTTAAACTGACATCTTTGCTCTTTAGCACTTTGGAGACACCCTAGAAAATAGATTTTCCCAAGACATAAACAGGGTAAGGAATCTGGAATGCAGGCTCAAGGTAACCTGTTAAAGAAGGTGGTTGATGACAGTAAGATCTTAAGAAAGACTGAAGAAGGGGCAGGAGGGAGCCAGAGAACATTTGAGGAACAGCATCCCAGGCAGCTTGGAAAAGTCAGTGCAAAGTGAATAAAGGGGAACATCCCTGTCCCAGGAGCTTTCCACATCTGAAAGTAGTGAATTCTCTCAACCCAGTGAGGTAGAGTGATGAGGACAGCCCACACCAGCCAAATCTTCACTTACCACTTCTCTGTTTGGTCCTGACACCAGCTGCACATGCAGCACTTCCTCCTTTGGTCCTGACCCCGTGGAGGCAGCTCAGAGCTTGCAAGTGAAAAGCCATGTCTTACAGACTGCCAAGTAAGTCTGAGACCCCAGATGCCAGTCACAAGTTTGGTGAGATGACTGACCTCATGACATCCACAATTCTGGTCTGCTGGTTCCCACTACTCCCTTGGGTTTACTCGAAGGACTCTGAGAACTTACGGAAAAGGTTACACCTAAGATTTTTACTTTCTTGTATGAAAAAAGATACAAAAGAGGAGAAGCATAAGATGAGGTCTGGGAGAGTTTCCAATACAAAGCTTCCATGTCCCAGCAAGAAACATACTGTCCTCCCACAGGCATGAGTGCTTTTCTTCAACTAGGAAGCCAAGGAATCTTCAGGGTTTGCCACTTTTATTGGGCTCTTGGTGTGTAATGTCTAAGTCAGTTCCTCTTTTCCACAGTCAGTTGAGATGAGGAGGCGATCATGAGGTATCAACAGTTGAGGAATTCTGGACTGGATAACGCTAGATAGATATCACATCATTACGTCATATAACCCATTTATTTTTTATATAGTTTGTTTGGCTCTACAATCAACACTCTTGGTACCAGCAGCCAGGAAATGAAAGGATGAATTACACTGGGAAAATCTGCTGTCAGAGACCTCTCCAAAGTACTGAAAACAAAGATGTCAGTCTGGAGATTAAGGTGCACCTGATACAGGTCATGGTCTTTGCAATTATTTGATATGCATCAGAGAGCTGGACAATGATAGGGATGACAGAAGGAGAATTGATGCCTTTAAGCTGTGGTGTTGGAGAAGAGTATTGAATATACGACAGACTGCTAGGAGAACAAACAAGTTCATCCTGGAGAGGGTGAAGCCAGGCTGCTCCTTGGAGGCAAGGATTCTGAAGCTTCAGCTGTCATGCTTTGGACATGTTGCAAGGAGGGATCAGTCCTTGGAGAGAGGCATCATACTTGGGAGGACAGAAGAACAGTACAGGAGAGGAAGACCCTCAATGAGATGGATTGATTCAGTGACTGGGGTAATGGGGAGAGGTGTGTCAGAGATAATAAGATTGGCAAGGGATAGTGCAGGGTTTAGGGCTGTTGTACACAGGGTCGCTATGAGTCACAGGTAACTCAACAGCACATAACAACAACAAACCTATTTATTACATATGATCTAGAGTTCTTTCCAAAGACATTTAAATTACAATAGTTACTTGTTGGGTTTGGTTGTTTTGGGTTGTCTTTTATTTTTAAAAGATTTTTTCTCAAAAATGCAACAATGAGTAAATGGAAATCCAGTCTCTATAAATGCTCATTAAAACGAATAACAATAATTATAAAAAGTTTCTTTCTCAGAAACTGTAGACGAAGACCAAATTCTTGGGGTGGTGTTACTATAAACCCTACAAATGTTGCTGCTGTCGTTAGGGGTCAAGTCCACTGCAACGCATCGTGGCCCGTGTACAACAGCTCTGCACCCCGCCCTGTCCTGTGCCATCCTCATGATCTCTGTCATGTTCAAGCCCGTTGTGGAAGTCAAGGTCAGTGCATTTCATTGAGGGTCTTCCTCCCTTTTGCTGACCTTTCCTAGCATGATAAATTTTTCCAAGGACTAGTTCCTCCTGAAAATATGCCAAAAATAAGATGGAAATGTCATCATTCTTGCCTCTAAGAAGCACCCTGGTTGCACTTTCTCTAAGACAGACTTTTGTTCTTTTGGCAGTCCATGGGCTATCTAGTACTCTTCTCCAATACTATATTTATCTATTTTACTGATCCTTTAAAAGAATCCACTTCTGGTCTTACTATTCTATTAATGTTCTATGTCATTCATTTCTGTTTTGATTTTATTATTTCTTTTTTTCTTGAGGGTTGGGGGTTCTTTTTTTCTATTTCCTCAAGCTGTAGGGTTAAGGTACTGATTTGGGATGTTTCTTCTTTTTAAATATGGATGTTTATTGCTTTAAATTTCTTTCTTATTGTACCCCAAAGGTTTTATATGTTGTATTTCCTTTTTATGTTTAATTTTAAGTATTAATTTCACTTTTTATTTTCCCCCATGGTTTGATGAGTTTCTAATACTATTACTTACTACTCATTGCTGTTGAGTCATAGCTGACCCTTCAGTGGTTTCCCAGAGGTAGCAAATTGCGTGAAAGGAGATTACCCATGTTTTTCATGATAAGCGGAAGATAGATTTGAACTGCATTTCTTTGGCTTGACAATACAAATCCTCACCAGTCAGAGCTCCCCATGGGATGGTTTCGATGGGTTAGGTGTGTTGTATCTGTTTTGAAGAAAGTACAACCAGAGTGCTCCTTACAGGCAATGATGATGAACCGGATCTCACTTACATTGAGTATATTTTCAAGAGAAATCAGTTTTTAAAGAGAGACATAGTCCTAGGAAAGGTAAAGGATTAGCAAACGAGGAAGGCTCTTAATGAGATGAATTGACACAGTGACTGCCACCCTGGGTTTAAGGATAACAGAGATTGTGAAGATGGTGCAGTATGACATTGTGAGGATGGCAAGATTCAGATCTGTTGTTCACAGGCTTGTTATACATTAATCGTTGACTTGATGGCAGCTTACAACAACTCACTAAAAAGAAACCCCATTGCTGTCAAGTCGAGACTAACTCAGAGCTTGCTCTACAGTGGGTTTGCTGAGGCTGACTTCATTTTCACGTTCTTTTTATCTGTTTTCCCCATTATTAATTTCTAACTTAATTCAACTGTACAGAGGTAACTCGTGGTTGCTTTGATGCTGAAGACTGTGACAGTGATGTGCCAATCGTGGTAATGGGCACCCATGGTGGACAGTGTTGGCTGGAGCTTCCCGACTAAATCAAGCCTGGAAGCAGGAGCGGCATCCACTTCCAAAATGGCTTGCCTCCGGAAACTCTATGTACGAACAGTGCTCAGGCCGTTCGTTCATAGGGTCGCTATGAGTCATCTATGACTCGACGGCATCAAACAACAACAAAAACAATTCGACTGTAGTGAGAGATGTTTTCTATGTTACCTATCTTTTA